TCAGGAAGTTTCAAAAGCTGTCTTTAAAGAAGTAAAATTATTGAGAAGGCTCAAGCTGAATATTTTTGATACAGGTGCCACCTTTTGGCATATTAATTTTGGTGTGTGTAAATGTATACATTTATAAAAGGTACATTTATTACTGTATTTTAATGATGTTTTGTAGTTTATGCTCAGTTAATGTATTTTATTACAAAAGGGACACTTTCTTTCCAGACTGCTGTTATCAGGATTTTAACATATTAGTTTTTAATCCCCAGACCAGGTGTTTTTTTTTTAATGAAGAAATGAGCTTACATAATAATTTTACATCTCATATAAATTTTATCTCTGAATTTCTTGAATTTTTGAGCATTCTTTTATATATTGCATATAAGCATCCAAGTTTTTATTCCTGTTGATAAGATATAGCTATTATTATACCTTCTTCAGTGATACATCAGGAATAATCTATTAAACAAGCCATAATTTTCTCTTTCCCCCCTAAAAGATTAAATAAACTAAGAGTAATACCAATACCAAGAGACACACTTTTAAATAAATTGTATTCATCCTGCTTTTACCAGACATACAGTTTCATTAGAGGTAAACCAATGAGTTATTTACTCAGGCAAAATACTTTTCATTACTCGCTGTTACTATTGCAGAAATTTCATTCCTAGCTGTGACTATTGCAGAAATTTGAAAGTAGATAAGGCAAAAAAATATATAGGGATTTATTTTTTAACTGAGATTAAAATGAACCAAATATATATAAAATATCAAGAGCAAATTATTTAAAACCAAGCACATCCAATTAACTTAGGTATCTTATTTATCGTTATTGTTGAAAGTATTACAGGTGTCCCCCCTTTTTTCCCATTGACCCCCTGTACCCCGCACAATTTGGCATAACCTGGTATTGAACCGTCTGACGTTTAAGGGAGAGTTTCAGCGTGGGGGCTCTTGGGGCGGGAGCAGAGATCACTACGCCACCCCATTCCGGCCACGTGTGAACTGTCGTTCAGGATTACAAATCACTGAAGGCAGATAGAGTCATCTGTGCTCTGTTTGAGGAAGACATTTCCTCTCTTCTGTGTCCTATTTACAATTCCACTGGGTTCATAAAATGGTCAGATGCTACAGCGCCACGAACAAACTACAGTGCTTTTAATAGAGCCATTCATCTGCTCCTTCCGAAGGGTAGTGTTCTCTCTCCAGGGAGGGTGCTCAGATAATAAGAGGAAAATGAATGCCAGTTGAGCACCTGTAATCAAATTACTCTTAATTCCCTCAACTCTTGTCAGATATTGAGCTCCTCATATCGTTTCATAGGTGGGCATTTTACAGACCCCTATGGTGTAATACAGTTACTTTCCTTTCTCGCTTCCCTTTCTCTTTCCTGTGCTCTAGCCCCCATCTATCATCACTGGGTAAATCCTGTCAGACGGCAAGTCCCAGCCGTTCAAACAGTCAGACACTGCGCCAGCCTCGTCTGCCTGTGCACCTGTCACTTCCCGGCATTCAGCGTGTGAGGGAAGGGGGCCAAGAGAACATTTATGGAATGGATGCGGGCAATGTGCCCAGCCTGTCAACAGGCACAGTGTGGCCTTAGCCTGGGTCCCGGTAGGATGCTACAGCTCCTGAAAAGATTCGGTCTGCCCCACACCCACTCCCCAAAGAAGGACTGATCTATGTTTAAAATGCTTGCTGCTTCAAACCCAAAGCAGACCATAATTTAGTCCAGACTCTCACAGACCCAATGTGTCATGTGTAACAAAACAAGCGCGGTACAAAGCACCGAGCTCTGGAGGGTTTCAGCTGCTCCATAACTCATCCTGCTGTAAAGGCTGCAGAGGGAGTTTGAAGAACGGGGTGAAGTGTTCCATTTCATTTGTATTGTATCACTTGGGATCTGAGATGAATTCAGGATGCAGCTGCACACATGCCTGGAATGTCATTGATTTTATTGTGTTGGTTGGGACTTATATATGCTTTATGTTGTGTGCTTTTTTAAATCTCATTTTCATTAAATATAACCCAGGCACAGCACCTAGAAAGTAATGGTGGTACACAGTGACTAAGGAAAGTATAGCACTGAAGGTGTTGCAGTGTTTTTTTAAATTCTATGTCAAATAAATTTTACAATAAGAAACCATGAGTCTGGGATATGTGGGAATCTAAGAATCGTGTCATTGTATGAAAATAACGCTTAAACTGTATTCTGAAACTGTCTGAAAAATCAGATAAAACTCATTTAACAGTCATGACAAAATGAATCTTAGTCTTAAAAATGTCTACCTCATTGGTTTGTTATAAGGACAAGTTAAAGTACTCCCCATCAGAAATATGCTCATTAAGTCAGCTGTACATTGATATGCTTCCTGTTTTTTGTCCACTCTGAGCAATAGAATCTACCTATCTATCTACTTACCTACCTACCTATCTATTAGTTACTAAGGGCCAGGCACTGTACTAAGCTCTGGATAAAAATAGTAAATGAAACAGATTCCACATACCATTTCTGGTGTTTATGGTCTCAGATTTTCTAAGTATTTACAGCCAGTGAACGTGCTTATACATATAAAAAATATTACGTACATGGTTTTATTTTAACCAACAATTTATATGGACTCTAAATGTTTGTAGAATATGACCAAACCATGATAACAATGTGAATATTTCACTATACTTCCTTTTATAAAAGCATTCAAATATTAATATGAAGGTTATTCTCTCTGTGGACCTGGTGATAACCCCTTTGCAGAACATGTAAGGCAATGATATCTCTGCTATTTGCATCTTGAGTGTCCTATTGTATTCTACTGATAGGCTTCTCTGTGTCTCTAATCCAGTATTTTTTCAATATGTATAGTCATCTATCCAGTAGTCACTTCTTCCTTATTCCTTGCTGGCAGACTGATCCTTGACTTTGTTCACCATTCAAGTGCCCATGTACTTCTGGAGAAGCAGGTCTGGAGGAGAATCTAGTGAATCAATGGCTTCATTTTCCATGATAATTGATTGGCCAATGTATGATCATATGACATAATTCTGGCCAGTGAGATGTTAGAACAATCCTGGAAAGATTTTTCTCACTTATGAAAGAGACAAATGTTATCTGCATGTGATTCATGGCACTGAGCTATCCATCTGAGAACCTTGATGAGAACAAACCTGAGACAACAAGTCACAACTCTGGGGAAGGGTATAACACATAGATAGAATCTGTGTTTTTGAAGATACATTTGCAAATATATTCTATTTCACACACCTTTCTTTAAAGATATTTGAGATTTCAAAATATATTGAATGTCATGACTAAGATTGAATCAACCCAATTTTGAACCTGAAAGAAATATGTTTCTACTTTGATTATTTATTACCAGTGTCAGAACTGAGACTGCTTGCTTGCCATAAGCTTTTACTTCTTCAGGTGTGTGAAAAGTAAACAACAAGATAGAGCACTTCTAATATTATACCTGTGCTGTGTTTTGTTCCCAACTACACATGTTCCACTTTTGAGACTCTTCCAACTCCTGTCTTAGAGAATTATAATTCTAATATGTATCCAGGTGTGTTGTTTCTAGGCCTCTGGTGATGAGATGGATGTTTCAACTCTTTTGATAAGAAGGTACATCCCACTGGGAATCGAGCTAAAAATAGGACCTCCATGTTCACCTCAACACCCTCAGCTTACGTACAGCTTCCCTGAACCTGTGTAAGCTGAGAGCTTATAGCTGCCGTCTTCCCCACTATATGGGGCAGACCTAAAAAAAATGCCAAATCAGAGAGCAGTGTTACCAAGGTGGAGAGTCACAGAGTCCTGTGGATATTTTTGAGCTGATAGATTAAGCTCTCCCTAA